AAAGAAAGAAAGAAAGAAACTAGCGTCCATTTATATTCGACGAATCAGAAAAAAAGGATGGTTCAGTAATCAAAGAACATCACCGGTTACCGCCCTCCTTCACTGGTCCGCCAACCAGACTCAGCGCTCAACAATGCCAACCATTCCACGGCCAACTATGATGTGTCCACCAGTTCCGGTAGTCGGGGATCCAGGAACTGAAACTTCCATGATTACAGTAGGAACCGAACCATGGGAGAGGTGGGACGATGTGGTGGACGACATGATGGACAAACGTAGTTATGCTCCATCGTGACTTCCTTGGCTTGGATCGGCAAGAGTGGTGGTAGTTGTTCGTGATATTGACATTATGCGAGTTCATATTGCTCGTCTTTGTTCTATTAAAAGAGTCCGTTGCAGCTAATTTACACGTTGTACAGGTATCGTTGTTGACAGATGGGCTAGTATCGCTGCCTGCAGCGGACTGGAAAGCGGCACCGGTGCCGCTACAGGGGGGTTCGGGTGTATGTGGTTCTTCTTTGATAACTTCCGCTCCCTGGGAAGTTATCTTGAGCCATATCGTGAGTCGGGACAAGGGGTTGACCTGTTTATCGCAACGAGAAGGGGATGTTCCAGCTCCGTCTACTTTTTGAGCCATATCGTGAGTCGGGACAAGGGGTTGACCTGTTTATCGCAACGAGAAGGGGATGTTCCAGCTCCGTCTACTTTCTCGTCGCGCTCCGTCAAGGGCGCCAAAGCAGGCTTCTTCTGAAAATATGGCGGTGGCCATGTTCTAGGAGCTGGAAAAGATGTGAGTGGAGCATAACAGATATGTATGAGTTGGGAATACTCACTGGTACCTGCCACCGCTAAATCTTCATGGTTGCCATCGAGATAACTCCGCTCAATCGGGGGGGTTCCGAATGTTTTCGGCTTACCATCCTCATGACGTTGGACTCTCTCAACAGCCACCAAGCTTAAATCCCACCATTTGACCCCCGCCTGATCCAACTTCTCATCGGAAGAGCCAAGGTTAGGGCTAGCTTCGTTCTTTATGACACCAAGCGGTCCTGAATCGCTGTCGTCTTCTATTGTCTCCAGTAGAAGCTAAGAGGCACACACAGCCACGTCGGGAGTCCGTCAGAACGGGATACACAATAGAACGGTGAAACGACACCTTTTGCAAATTCCAACCGCATAATTCTGACTCGACATTTATATTCCCATCATCAGATACTGAAAAGCACCCCAGCGGTTGATGAACAGACTTGAAACCGACGCCGGGATCAGTCCCTTTATCTTCATCATCTTTATCATCATCCCGCCAGGGTGCAAAATAATCATTCCAGTCGTGATAAGGGTGCCTCCTGCCAGGTAAAAGTGGGTGAGAGAACTCGGATGGTGCCGGAAATGTCGAGCTGAACGCACATTCAATTGTGAGGCCCTCTTAAACTTTACCCCCACTGGAAACTGGGGGGTCCACGGTTGTTTACTACCAGTTGGAAGGGGTGGGTTTTGGAGAGAAGAGAGAAGATAAAGCTGGGAAGGATAACTTGTCCTACCGCGTCGTGGGGGTAGAAAGACAAGCCTGGAGGGGGCTCGTGGGCAATATTGAGTGCGAGATAGATACGATGTACACAGCAGTGACTCATCCTTTCGCTCATGGCGCCCATGGGGCACTGGCAGGTAATTGTTATTTTAGTTGGGATGATACCTCAGCGCCACCAAGCGCCCGGAAGCCATATATGGTGGTTATATTGAGGCTCGGGAGTAAGGTCTACCGCGAAATTTCTCACACGGAACGTTCTTGACCAAAGAGCACGTTCCATATGCGCAATATTGCATTGACAATTGATCTGAACAGCAGACGTTCCGGTTCCCGGATTTCGAATTAAGTACGGAACATTCCAGCTGTCAAAACAGCATATTTCCTCGCATTGGGGTCGAGAGATAATTTCACAATTAGGTCGGCGCTTTCCAACGCTTATTGCGATGCGGATCAAATCAAGGCCTCCGAATCATATCTTGATACTCGATAAATAAGCAACGTTAGGAATAGATCAATAAATCAGCTACTAAACTATATATACTCGGCTTTCTGGATGTGGGTAATTTTCAGAGACAACACTAACCATCAACCCTTTCCTCTCCCACTCCTTCAAAGGCTCATAACTCGCCTGACTCAAACCACGCGTCAATTGCCACCCGGACAACTCAACGACCCGCAGCTTCGCTACACTCGAATCACCGTTAACAAATCTCGACCCCACCATCTCAACGAGCTCTGCTTGACCATCAAAATACTTCCCATGTCGAACTTGCAGCCTAATAGTATGCAGCTTGGGAACAAAGACGCGTTCAGATGACCAAATCAGAGCCTTCAAAAACGACTTGGTTATCGTCCTATGAAAAGGAGGCTCCTCAAGCAACAAATCCCTGAAAAAATCAGGCTTAAAAGTCTTTCTCCAAACACAGTGATCATGCACCGTGAGCTCCTCAATCGTCGGTAACACTTCCAAAAACGCCAACAGATCACGATCGTCCACCGGGATATCCTTCACCGCTAGACTCTTCAACCGCTGCCCCGATCTCTCTGCAAACTTGCGCATTACGTAGCGCGGCCAATTGAAGATATCAACATCCACATGAGGACGATGGGCGAAAATCGTTAGGGATTCTAGTTTGGGAGCAGATACGGCCGCGAAAAAGTCATGAAGGATGTCATAGGTTGGTTTCCGGGTGTGCTTGACCGCAATGTTGATCGTGATGGAGGCCAAGTTTGTGCATTCCACGGGAGCAAAACCACTCGGAATTCTGATATAACGTGGATGGCGGTGAGAGTTTTTGAGAACGTTCTGGAGGGATCCTTGGAAAGTGAAAGATTGCAACTGACTGGCAGCGCGCATGAGGTCGGTAACTGGGATCGTTTCTTCGGCTTCGAAGGTGATATAGCTGAATCGATCTAATCGGGGCAGGGATTGCAGCCAGACTTCAAAGGATTGTGCGAATTCCTCGTATCTCAATGTAATACTCTGAAAGTTGGGAGCATCAGGGAAAGGGTGCGAGGAGACAGGATAATCTATCAGGCCTTCCTGGAATGAGGATGATTCGAGGACAGGGAACGGAGTCAACAAAAAGCGCCACAACCTCTCCAAGACAAAATCGTGGAGAGTATCGATGTTGAAGTAACGCCAGCGAGGCTGTTCGTCAAGGAGTAAAAAAAATGGGTCGAAATCACCGTCGCCTCCATAATAATCTGAAGGGACAGTGAGATAGAAAGACAGCGGAGATTTTTTTGATCGGTTCAAGAAGACCTCGAGGATCGGAAGAATTCTGTCCCGGAATCTAAGATCAAGTGAGAAATTTGACCACAGCAAAGGTGAATTCACAGTAATCTGCCTCCAATGTCTGCAAACGCCACTCAGAGCTACCGTGTTAGACTCCCAAATTTTTCTGACGCCGAATACATTGTCAGTAATGTCGGAGCTCGTAAAACCAAATATCTTTTTCAGAATACTGGTTGGTAAACGGTAGATGGGGGAGCTGTATGGGGGAGTAGTCATACGAGTGGCTTCCTCCTCCCGGGTGGTACGAATCATAAGCTCCTCCACAGCGAGAGCACCCTCCTCTAACCTCCTTTTGATAGTAAGACAGATACTCTGATGTTCTGGAGAAAGGGAGGATAATATCCGCTGCTGACCCATCACTCGGGCGGGCTTCTTTATGTATTCGAGGAAGATGCGGTGGCCTTTGGGAAGTATGGTTTGTATATCCATGTCGCTATGTCCTGATGAAGAATAATTAAACGAATGTTCAGGGAGAATTTTTGAAAGGGTGGGCCAGTCACCTTGTCAAATGGTAGCAGGTTGTAGTTCGTGAAAGAACCGCCTGAGTCACAGTGGCTCGCGACGCGTTTGGTAGAAACGGTCACATGCATGCTCTCACGCCACACAATGGAACGGCTATAAAAACACAACACATGAAAGCTGTGCTGACCTTTTTTCCAGGAATCCCAGAGTCGCGTCACTGATCACTCATGTTTACACTCGTGCGGCGACCATAAAATGCTCCTAGCAGTGAGAGTGTTAATCCTGAGGAATAATTGAGAGAGACCAAACGACAGGATACAAAGTTAAAGAGTCCACGAAGACGAGAACGACACATGGAACAGATGTTCTACATCAATCCCTCTTTCCTGTACTTCGATTCGACCTCATCTAATTTCCAAGCTAAAATAACACGCTATGAGTTCAAATTCGCCGATAAGGTGTATGGTACGACTCACAAGGGACACTGTAGTCCTCCTTAAGGTCTGGGCCATTGTCGTAACTAAGATACCACTTGGGGCGCCTTTTGAACTCTCTTCGCAAGCCTTTGGCAACTTGAGTAAGTTTCTCTCGAGGAATATTGCGATACCGATAGTTGGAGATCATTGTGATGAGAATAAGGGGGTATTCATCCCGTTCCTGCGTGATGGGAATACTATCGGTGATACCGTTACTTTTCAGGCCGAACCGCTGATTCAGGTTTCGAAGAACGTGATATTTCTTCACGGGGAGTGATGGTGAAGGCTCGTCCTTGGGAAATATGTTCTGTGCATCGACGTAGGCGTTGAATTCATCCAGAGAGAGGGCGACTCCGTATTCAAAAATCGGAGGTTTCAGGTCGTATATAGGGTTAGGGAAGTATGCTGGACATATTTCCATGAAGGTTTCATGATTAAGGATGTAGGCACGTGTAAGTTTCTGGATTAAAAAAAAAATCAGAAATGTCAAGCTAAAAGCAGAAGAATCGAAGACGTACGTGGTTGAGATCTTCCATGTTAGGCGGTTCCTCTTCCTCTTTCACTGTAGATTTTGTGCCACGAGCATCGGGTGGTAGCGACATGACAAAAAGGACCAGGAGGAGGGTGATGATTGGCGGGGCAATTCGCGCATGCCAGGCTATTTATGTTGCACTATGGATTCCATAATTTCCTGCTCCTTTTTGAGAATGATTAATATTGATCATGTACTCTCATATCCCTGGTAGTATATCGGTTAGTACACGCGCCTGTCATGTAATGGTGGTCGATATTCGCGCGCGAAAGCTGGGTTCGACTCCCAGCCAGGGAGTCTTGGTACTTTGATGACTTCTTTTTTCTCTCCCCAAGGAATCCATAAGCTGCTCAAGGTTTGGAATAGCGGGCTTCATTTTTTACCAGAAAAGAAATACCCAAAGCTTGCATCGACACGGAAGGTTTGACATAATAATAACCACTTTTAGTCCTTGAGCCACATTGAAACAGTAAACGATGTTAAAATACAGGAGACGTGCGCCGCTAAACCCTAATCGCACTAACAGTATAATACACGCCACCCAATCCCTCTACGTATCTTATCTCCTGCAAGGCATTCGAAAACATCGTATCCAGATTCCCATTAGTCCATCCATTATCCAAAAAAAGCCGTCTCGAGGATTCCATATACCTCTTCACACAATCCCTATACCCTCTCCCAGCCTGTTTCATAGGCAACTCGGGGCGATAATCTCCAATCGGCATAAACGCCAAGTAAGTAGTCACGGCTGTAAACAGCCCAGATTCAGCTATCAGCTGCGGTATCTCATGCTCTACGGTCGGACGAATACCCAACCGCTGAAAGACCGTTTGGTTCCATTGTTCATAGAATCCGGTGAGACGGGGAGCGGAATTTTGAGGTGTTCTGTCTGGGTATCGAGTAGCATCAAAGGCGGGGTATCTCCTCCATTCGCCGGAGAAAAAGACTCCTCCGGGACGAAGAAGCCTTGCGGCCTCGGTGATGATAGTTCTGTAGTCTCTGACCTAGAAAGAAATTAAATGATCACCCCCACCCCCGCACCGACGGGTTCAGTTTCTATTTTTAATAAACGAGCCGCGAGAAATTTGATGGACTTACTGTTAATGAGACCGACCGAGCGTGGACGACGTCAATGGATCCGTTGAGAAATCTTGTTTGGGTGTTGATGTCGTGAATCTCGAAATGAACGTTGTTGGGGAGATCAATCCGAGGTGCGATGGGAACTAGGCCAATAATCTGTTTAGAACCTGAACGGCAGAAGAAAAGCTCGAAAAGGAACCTATATCAAGACCATGAAAAATTACGTGAGGAAAGGAACGGGCCATTTCTATGGGCCTTCCGGAAAAGATAAGCTCGTAATCGTTGTGACGGAAGGGAAAGGAAAGACACTCACCATTGACCGGGACCAGTTCCCAAATCGACGCTGACCCTCTGTCCGGACGGGATGGGGACTAGGGCACTAGCAACTGGATCGACAAAGTTCCCTCCGAGCAAGAACTTGAGGAGTTCGTGTTCCTTTCTAATTCTCTGGAACGAAGTATTCTTTGATTCAGACCAAACTCGATGATAGAGTGGGGCGAATGCAAACATTTTGCTCGGGAGTGTCAACTGGGAAAGGGTAAGGAGCTGTAGGACTCGAATGGTAGAGTCTGTCGACATCGTTGACGGTGATATCGACGAAATGTTCCGCCATTTCCTCGCCCGAGGAAATTTCGTGCATTTCTTCATCATCTTCGGGAAGTTGAGCGTTAGCATACATTTGTGAAAGAGAAGAGCTTGGCTAGGTAAGAGAGGCTAATGACTGAACAGGTTATATATACCAATGTCCCACCAAGTGTCATCCGTGACAAGATTTTCAGTCTATGGGGGACGTTATCCTTCTAGGACGAGAAAAAAAGACATACGTGGTGCTTCCTGGATCGAGGCGCAAACAAAGTTTAATGGAAAAGATGGTGTGTGAATTTTTTCCATCAAGGCGAGCACAAAAGGAAGCCACTGTACTTGATCGTGCTCCCATCCCAGTGGTCTAATAAACCAAAAAAATTTCCAGCAAAGTCTCTCATACATCAGCCTGATGCGACACTTCTGGAATGTACTTATTACTTGGATCATCCGAAGAACGTGGTACCTGACGCACAAATTCCAACAATGGGATGGAGTTCGGCGGTTTATCCTTACTGCGGAACAAACCAGTGACCTATCGATAGAAGGAAGGAAGGAAAGAACTGGTTGATTTTATCACTTGCCTCCTTGTTGGGAACATCATACCACCCACTATATTTTTACAACTTTCCGTGATCTTTTTTTTCCCGCCACGGTCCAAGCGAGGGTTCTTGATAGGCTCTTGCCATTCGGCAACGGCGTTTTCGCAGGTTAAAGCGAGAGGATTTAGAGAATCTGCCCATCGATGCCGAAAGGAGTTGCGTCATTTTATATATACCGAGCTCTCAACCGCCCAATCGTGGAAGAGGATACCCAAGACACTTGGCCATTTCGCCACGAAGAGGAGATCTCGATCAGGAGAGCAATTTGTACCGAGAGTGAGGTCGATAGGCCACAAGGCATTCAAGGTTCAACCCGGCGGACAAGGGTGTAATATCTATTTATTAATGGTGTCTAGAGAAAACATGCTCAACACAGAGGTTGAGCATAAGGACGCGCACTCACAACATACACTAGGAAAATGAAAATTTAAACGTACGGCGAGAAGGGTTTGAAGACGCAGATATACCTAATTTCTGCCCCTTTGAGAGTCACATCGATTTGTGAAAGATGTATCATCGATGGTCATTCTGACGCGGTCATACAGGTACAGTGGCACAATTATACCTACTTGAAACCCGTCGAATTCCATAGAGTTGTTCAAGTTTATGGCCAATCGGCGATTTGTGGGAGTGCGAAGAATTGGGGCGCGTCCCCACTTTCGTTGAACGAGTGGTTGACAGCGATTAATATGCTTGAATCCAGCGTGTTTGTGAGGACATATTGAGAAGTACTAGTTGGCGGAAAGATAACTGTGATCCGATTCCGACTAGAACACAAGCTGTATCACTTCTTGACGATCGTGACATTGGAGAATGGAAGAGAACAGTTACGTTCATTAAAAGGCGGGATAAACTTAAACTTGAATGACGCAACAGATACGGAATTGTCCCCCGCACTGACTTTCAGACTCTGTGTGCGAACGAGATTAGTGGCCGCTCTGCCAGCACATAGAGAGCAAATCGTGTGATTGCTAGATGACAAGGGTTAATAGTATGTTCCTTTGATATCAAACTTTATCTTCAGGTATCAATTAGAATTAGAAAAAGGGCTTCGAAGAGCCACCGCAGCACTTAGTTGGTGAGCTGAATGGGAGGCTGAAGAGAGGTTGAGACTGTGAGAGTAGGGGGTGAAAGACTTGAGTCTGGCGCCGGTTCCAGATTCTGCCTGGGCCCCGCGCGCTTCGATGACATTTCATTTCCCACAGAAGCTGCGCACCAATGAAAGCGGTCACGACTTCCACGGTTGTCCACCTTGACGTCGACCTGGACCATTCTATCCGTTTCCCGTATGTTCATCAAGCTTTCTTCCTAATTTTGACTGAAAGCTATTTAGGGTGTAAAACCTCCGCGTCTGGAGGTGTCAATTTTCCACTTCAATAAGCATTAAACTCGAGCATACCGATTTCGAACGGAACGTCATGTTCAAATCGGTTTGCTGCACTGTTTATTGAATCTGAATCAGAGGTGAATTACTGCGGGCTACACCGCAGCTAGAGTTAATATATGTGCTCGCGCTAATGACCCGCAGAGAGTTCATCGACGGACAACCACGGACGTGATGATTGGTGTTACTCAATGTTCCCCCAGATGAGCCCGCAGTGTGTTCTCTTGACGCGCCCCAAGTAGTCATGAGATTCTTTCTAATAAGAGATCGGCAAAAGGTCCGTGCTTTCCCAGTGTTGAGTTTGTAATTGAATTTTGACAGAAGGCTCTGCTTAGACAATTCTGCCATCTAAACGCCCAGACAACACAGGGTCCCTTGAGCGCTCGTTTCATGTCGCAATGACTCGGACATGTTTATTCACTACTTGGCTCCAAACATGCCCGGACGCTTCTTTCAGCTCACTACGTGCGTGGTGGCCTATAGTATGGTCGTATGCACCACATTTCATTCATATAAAAGCACAAAAAAGGGCGTTGGAGGCCTCATTATCCCAGTATCCACATTCGAGGTCGATCTTTCTCGCTTACAATGTTCAATTTGCAACTTGTCATTTCCGGTCTTCTTTCCATCTCCGTTGCGCCTCAATCGACCTACGCATACAATGATCACACGCAACACGCCTTCAAAGACATTCAAAGAGCGATTCTCGCTCCCCTTGCCCATGGATAAATGCGTAGGCTTCCCCCCGATATGAATTACACTTTCCCCACGGCTTTTATATCTCTTTAGATTATCGAATCATGGATACCTTCCACGCGACGGAAGAAATATCACTGTTCAGGCGATGTCCAAGGCAGTCGAAGGGACTTTTCGTAATTATGTTCTTCGGTGTCCTGGAGAGACTAAAAGTGAGAACATCCATTTCCCAGAGGTCTTCAACGTTCTCGCTGCAACCGTCGCCCTTTCTACCAAGTTGGCACTTGCTTGTTCCAAACAGCCTACTACCTTCGATCTCGAAGACACGGCGTTGTACGATTATGATCCTTTCCTCCTAATTTCTTTGTTCCCTCACTGGAGGTTTAGACACGGTTGTTTCGAACACGATACATCTATCTCTCGAGGTGATGCTGCACTTGGAGATAATCTCACCTTTAACGGGACTTTGTACAAAACTTTGGCGGAGAAAAACCCTGGCAAGGACTTTTATGACACCGAGGTAGCTGGGAAAGTTATGAAAGATCGCCTCGGGTTTTCCTTGGCTACTAATAACGCTACCGTCAATACCGTTAAGGAATTTACTCTCAGGTCTACGGAGGCAGCTCTTTATCTTGCGGTGATGGGGGACGGCAAGACAGGAAAGGCTCCCAAGAAGTGAGTTCAAGTCAAAGACTTTCCTCGTTTCACTCTTTCAATGAACTTGTTTATTTCTTTCTCAGATTCGTGGACATCATTTTTCGGGAAGATCGGCTCCCTTGGGCTGAAGGATGGAGAAGGTCGCTCAAACCTATCAACCCGGAGACCATTCAAGCGTTGATACCTCGTATCCAAGCGTCCGCCGAATGGAGCGAGTCTGGAGGATCATACGCTGGTGCTTTACCCATCGTTTTCGGATAGATTAGTACCACCTATGCTTTTACTTTGATTTCAGA